AAGACGTGCTCAGAGTTTGGTTGGTGGGACGACTGCCCAGTCCTGAGAGCCCCCATTTGCCTTGTTTTCCACTGTAGCGTGGCAACGTTTGCATGTGTCCAGGAGGTTGTACAGATGGCGAATCGGCCTTTTTGTAGCTGGAGCTTTTGAATTTTGAGCCAGTCACTTAACTATAGGCAAGTTCTTACCCCTCTGTGCTTCTCAAAATTGGGGATGATAATAAGTACTTGCCTCTCAGAATTGTGACGATTAAATCAGATAATACATGTAAACCACTTAGCCTTCTTCCTCGTGAGTAGAAAGTGTTCGTTAAGTCTGGGGCTGCTGTTTCCTGGTACTCATAGTTACAAAGTAGGCTCTGAGGTACACAGTAAATACCTTGAAATCAAGTACAAGGGCTGTACGTGTACCATTGAGATGGCTCTTACAAAGTCTTTTAAGTAGGAGGGAGGCGGGAGTGTGCCGTTCTTTTTGCTAAGGTGTATTTTTCTGAATTATAAGGGTGTGACAGATGTATTGTGTGAAGCTTGTGACCAGTTGGGATGGGCAAAGCCCACCAAGATCCAGATTGAAGCTATTCCTTTGGCCTTACAAGGTAGGTTGAAATTAAATATGTGACTTGGTACAGATTTCAAGTTATATTGTCAATTAATGAGAACTATTGTTTGCATACTTCAAGTGAAATAAAGATATGATCACTAAACATACGAAGTTTGGGCTTCTTGGTTTTGAAAAAGTCACTCATTCAACAGTTTTACCGAGCTTATTTTTTTTCTTTTTTCTTTTTCTTTTTTTTTTGAAACAGGGTCTTGCTTTGTCACCTGGGCTAGCGTGCAGTGGCATGATCATAGCTCACAGCAATCTCAAACTCCTGGGCTCTAGTGATCCTCCTGCCTCAGCTTCCCTAGTAACTAGTTCTACAGGTGTAGAACACTATGCCTGGCTAATTTTTCTATTTTTTGTAGAGATGTGATCTCACTGTGTTGCTCAGGCTGGTTTCTCTTTGGCCTCAAGTGATCCTTCCTCTGCCTTGGCTCCAAAAGTGCCAGGATTATAGGCGTGAGCCACTGCACCCAATCTGAACTTACTTTCTGTCTTAATGTGCAGGGGTTGTTCTCTGCACAGGATGCTGACTTTAAGGAATCACTGGATTAAAGTGTACTAACAAAAAACTTGTTAGAAATTATAAATCAGGCCGGCGCAGTGGCTCATGCCTGTAATCCTAGCACTCTGGGAGGCGAAGGCGGTGAATCGCTCGAGGTCAGAAGTTCGGAAACCATCCTGGCAAAACGAGAACCCCGTCTCTACTATAAATAGAAAGAAATTAATTGACCAATTAATATATATATATAGAAAAAATTAGCCGGGCATGGTGGCCATGCCTGTATCCCAGCACATCTCTCTCTTTGTACTTCTGTCTAAGGGAGTTGAGGGCTGTTGCTGTGAGGCATGTTTATCAGATTTGCAGAGGAATGGTTAAAGTGCTGGTTGATGACTAGTGGGACTGAAACAGAGTGAACTGTAATAGGAATAGAAGTCAAGTCCTATTCTTAGATTCCTAAAGTCCTGACTTTACAGCATTAAGATGGGTGATAAAAGAGACCCAGAGATGTTCACTAAAGGAAATTCATTAATATCCTCAGAGAAAGTGAATGTAATCTTAGCTACATTACTATAAGAGGAGAGTGACATTTTTGGGGTCTCTTATCCCTTTGAGAATCAAAAATAAAAGATTTCTTCTCCTTTAAAAAATGTGCAAATATCTCTTCACATAAAATTTTACATAGAATTTCAGAGAGTTCAAGACTCTCCTTTCCCCTCACCCTGAATTTCTCACTCACAAGTCTCAGATTAAGAACCTCCTGGATTAGCACTAGGGAAGGAATACTGCTTTGCACTGGTTAGAACACACTACAAATACTATATTGCTGAGGTCTGGGGACCACAGTTTTCAGGGACCAGCTGAGGGGCAGTGAGTATGGTATAGTATCAAAAATAGTCACAAATAGTTAAAGGAACTGAGCACCGTTGTTCTGGAGAAGAGAAGAGTGAGGGGGTAAGATATGATAATTACTGGCTTTAATGATTTGAAAAGCTGTTATGTGGAAAAAGGATTAGACATATTCTGCATAATTCCATTTATTCCTTCCCTAAATTGTTACTGAGTATTTGATGTAAATGTGAGGCTCTGGGGGTGAAGAGAGTCTGTCCAAGTGCTCACAATCTACTAACAAGATAGTTACAAATTTATTACAAGGTGAACAGGGACATAAAGTTACATTCAAAGTGCACTGAGGGAGTAGAAGAGATTGTTTCAAATTGGAATGGATTGGAAAATATTTATTTCATTTTATTTTTTGAATGGGGAAGCAAGGAAGACATTTGAGACTGAATTTAGAAGGATTTAGATATTCAGATATGATGGGAGGGGAGGACTTCCTAGGCATAGAGAACAAGATGAAAAAAAGCCAAAGATGCTGGAAAACATGGGCATATATGGAGATTTGTAAGTGCTTAACAGAGTGGTAAAAAAGTTTAGTAAGGTGATTGTGGCCAGATTATGAAAGACTTGAATGCTGGCTAAAGGAATTTGGTTTTTATTCTATAGGCAGCCGAGCATTTTTGGAGATTATTTTTTAGCAGGAGAATGAAATCCCTAGAGTTGTACTCTTGGAAGATTAATCTCATTGCTGTGTAAGATCATTTAGAGACAAGAGGCTGAAGGCTGGGAAACCAATTAGGAGGTCATTGCAATAATTTTGGCAGTAAATAATGGGAAGGGCAGTGGTAGTGAGAATGAAAAAGAGAAAGTGATAAAAAAAAGAATCATGATTTTGTAACCAGTTAGGCAAGGGGTAGGGAAATCTAAGATTATTGCTAGGTTTCTAGGGTACATATTTAAGACATATTGTTGGTGTACCTCTGATATAAAAAGCAACATAGGAAGAAAAATAATTTCAGGAAAGATGAGTTCAGTTGGAAATAATTGATTTCAGATATCAATGAGATGGAGTAGACTAATATGCAAATGCGGGAAGGGAAAATGGGGAAATGTTAGTCAAAAAGTACAAAATTTCAGTTAGGATGAATAAGTTCTGAAGATCTACTGTACAGCATAGTGAATGTAGTTAATAATGTTTTGTATATTTGAAAATTGCTAAGGGAAATTTTAAGTGTTCTCACCACAAAAATGGTAAGTATGTGAGGTGATGGATATGTTCATTAGCTTGGTTTAATTATTTCAGAATGTATACATGTATCAAAACATCACCTTGTATACAATAAATATATATAACTTTTATTTTTCCATT